TTCACCGAGGGCTCGATGTGGTGAACTGTGGACTTTGGGGAACGCTTGTCCCCTACATGAAAACGTGGACCTGCTTTTCTTCCTGTCAAAACGTGGACTTCTTTATTTTAGGGTGTATTTTGATGTTGACTTGGAAATGACTAGTACTAAATTTCTCATTTAAAAGCTTCATTTGGAAGAAAAAAAAGGAATTCCTTTTAGTAACATGTTTAAATCTCTTCCCGATTTCAATATTACAAAATTACTGTGGACTTTAATGTAACCGAGGGCTCGATGTGGTGAACTGTGGACTTTGGGTAACGCTTGTCCCCTACATGAAAACGTGGACCTGCTTTTCTTCCTGTCAAAACGTGGACTTCTTTATTTTAGGGTGTATTTTGATGTTGACTTGGAAATGACTAGTACTAAATTTCTCATTTAAAAGCTTCATTTGGAAAAAAAAAAGGAATTCCTTTTAGTAACATGTTTAAATCTCTTCCCGATTTCAATATTACAAAATTACTGTGGACTTTAATGTAACCGAGGGCTCGATGTGGTGAACTGTGGACTTTGGGTAACGCTTGACCCTACATGAAAACGTGGACCTGCTTTTCTTCCTGTCAAAACGTGGACTTCTTTATTTCAGGGTGTATTTTGGAGTTGACTTGGAAATGACTAGTACTAAATTTCTCATTTAAAAGCTTCATTTGGAGAAAAAAAAGGAATTCCTTTTAGTAACATGTTTAAATCTCTTCCCGATTTCAATAGTACAAAATTACTGTGGACTTCAATGTAACCGAGGGCTCGATGTTGTGAACTGTGGACTTTGGGTAACGCTTGTCCCCTACATGAAAACGTGGACCTGCTTTTCTTCCTGTCAAAACGTGGACTTCATTATTTCAGGGTGTATTTTGATGTGGACTTGGAAAAGACTAGTACAAATTTCTCGTTTAAAAATTTATTTGGAAAAAAAGGAATTCCTTTTAGTAACATGTTTAAATCTCTTTCCGATTCAATAGTACAAAATTAATGTGGACTTCAATGTAACCGAGAGCTCAATGATGTGAACTGTGGACTTTGGGTAACGCTTGTCCCCTACATGAAAACGTGGACCTGCTTTTCTTCCTGTCAAAACGTGGACTTCTTTATTTCAGGGTGTATTTTGATAATGTTGACTTGGAAATGACTAGTACTAAATTTCTCATTTAAAAGCTTCATTTGGAAAAAAAAAAAGGAATTCCTTTTAGTAACATGTTTAAATCTCTTCCCGATTTCAATATTACAAAATTACTGTGGACTTTAATGTAACCGAGGGCTCGATGTGGTGAACTGTGGACTTTGGGTAACGCTTGACCCCTACATGAAAACGTGGACCTGCTTTTCTTCCTGTCAAAACGTGGACTTCTTTATTTCAGGGTGTATTTTGGAGTTGACTTGGAAATGACTAGTACTAAATTTCTCATTTAAAAGCTTCATTTGGAGAAAAAAAAAGGAATTCCTTTTAGTAACATGTTTAAATCTCTTCCCGATTTCAATAGTACAAAATTACTGTGGACTTCAATGTAACCGAGGGCTCGATGTTGTGAACTGTGGACTTTGGGTAACGCTTGACCCCTACATGAAAACGTGGACCTGCTTTTCTTCCTGTCAAAACGTGGACTTCTTTATTTCAGGGTGTATTTTGATAATGTTGACTTGGAAATGACTAGTACAAATTTCTCGTTTAAAAACTTCATTTTGAAAAAAAAAGGAATTCCTTTTAGTAACATGTTTAAATCTCTTCCCGATTTCAATATTACAAAATTAATGTGGACTTTAATGTAACCGAGGGCTCGATGTGGTGAACTGTGGACTTTGGGGAACGCTTGTCCCCTACATGAAAACGTGGACCTGCTTTTCTTCCTGTCAAAACGTGGACTTCTTTATTTTAGGGTGTTTTTTTATGTTGACTTGGAAATGACTAGTACAAAATTTCTCATTTAAAAACTTCATTTGGAAAAAAAAAGGAATTCCCTTTAGTAACATGTTTAAATCTCTTCCCGATTTCAATATTACAAAATTAATGTGGACTTTAATGTAACCGAGGGCTCGATGTGGTGAACTGTGGGCTTTGGGGAACGCTTGTCCCTACATGAAAACGTGGACCTGCTTTTCTTCCTGTCAAAACGTGGACTTCTTTATTTCAGGGTGTATTTTGATAATGTTGACTTGGAAATGACTAGTACAAAATTTCTCATTTAAAAACTTCGTTTGGAAAAAAAAAGAATTCCTTTTAGTAACATGTTTAAATCTCTTTCTGATTCAATAGTACAAAATTACTGTGGACTTTAATGTAACCGAGGGCTCGATGTTGTGAACTGTGGACCTTGGGTAACGCTTGACCCCTACATGAAAACGTGGACCTGCTTTTCTTCCTGTCAAAACGTGGACTTCTTTATTTCAGGGTGTATTTAACCCACTTTTCATGCGTCTAGTGCTACATCACCAACCAGCCGGGGCCGAAAACAAAACAAAACACCACATTCATTTTGTCATCAGAGCTGAAATTTACAGTAGGTATGTGGAGTGCATGAAAACAGGTCATGACAAATTTAAACGTGGTGGTAATTTGTTTACGACGCCATTTTCCAAAATGAACTAGTATTTTGTGAATCGGGTACTTCTTCTCCTTATAAGTCTTCATTTTAAATATAATAACTGTCAGGTGAAAAAGGGTGCCTACATTATGGTTCAAAGGGTCGGGACATAGCACAGCACAGCTGCTTCATTGACAAGTTCAAATGTTTCAACTCAAAGACATTTAAAGGGGCATTTCGTGATCCACAACATTCCCCCCCCCCCGGATTTATACAAAACCACCCCAGATTTTGATGCCATCTGAAACCTTCGCCACCTGTTCTGCAGATCTACATGTTCACGATAGAAATCCTAAAATGTATGAACATTTTAATTTCTTTCCGTTCACAGAACGAAATCATTTCATAATAAATTTCTCAAATCAAATAACTAATAGTGAATATAGCTGTATCAATCCAGTAAATCGTATAATTGGCGAGTGTATCATGCTTAAACATAGTGTAACAGGTTTTCTGAAGATTTATCAGATTGACGAACAAACTTGCAAAAACCCTATCTAAAAATCCTATCTAATGCCTCCTAAGTGTTTCCAAGATAGTCTTATTACCATATTGTTGTTTTTCAGGTGAATATGTCAAAAACCAACCATTTGCAAACTTATAAGTCATCATGTGCATGCAACAAAGGTCGTATCTACATTTTCTTCATTTTGCGGGAGAAGCCATTTTGTGTTCAACTTTGTTTTCTTTGTCTCTTACCATCTTCTTTCTTTTATAAAATAAAACTGTTTAAATTTGAGACTTGAAGTCTAATTTAAAAAATGAATATTTAATTCTTTCAAAATAAAAAGAAAACTAATTTGTGCCCAAAATGTCAGTTACGACCTTGTTTCATTCACATGGTGGAGTATCAAGATAAGCCGGAATAAAATCATAAAAACATGAGATGCCCCTTTAATATAAAATAAAATACTTCGACATGCCTTTCAAATACAGCAAAACTGTTTTTATTATTAAAGACAACTTTGAAAAAATAAGGCTTATAAAACAAGGTTCCAACAAAACATGATACATCTCAGTTCAGAGGACAACGAACACATAGGTGGGCTGTTATACAGGTATGGTAGGAGAGGAGTTACTCGCAACTTGGGGATTGTTTAGACCCATATTCATGCCTTCTTTGCAGTGAAATCAGCCCCCAGTGACCTTTAAAAACAAAAATTCCCATATAAAAGTGAATCATGGTGTTGCAATATTGAAATTGGAGTAGCAAACTACATAACATTAATATTTACCTCTATCATAATTTGGTATACACAAGAAAGAGTTTGAGTACTAAGCTTCTGAATAGCGTTTTTGCAAAACCTTAATTTTCATGTTTAGATGTTACAAAATTGAAATCTGACATGATAAAAACTAATGTATTTCGCTTCAAGCTGTTAAAAAAAAAAAAAATCGTAAGTGGTGATTTTGCTTTTAAAGGCGGCATGAATATGGATCTGAATAATAACATTTTATTTAAAATCCCTACAAAAACCTTCAGTCCCAGCGAGGGCATTAGTATCTGCTTTGAAAATATCCACTTTGGAATGGCGTGCTGGGCAGTCAAGATGTGTACATCAAAATAAGATCGCAACAGAAATATCAGAGTTGGACAAATATTTCCCAAATATGCCCGTGTCTCTTTAATCAAGATCTTAATTTAAAGAATGAAAGTTACATTTGTTAATAAAAGCAAGTGGAAAGTATCAGCATATTTGTGTTCTGAACCCAGGATTCCGAATTCCATAATCCATTTCATTTTTGTATAGAACTCGGGTTACAAAGTGATATGTTATGAACATATAAACATTACATTTTAGTGGATGGATAGTAACATCAAAACATGACCAATACATCACTTTTGTGCTAATCTTGTCTTCTTTGTACAAAAGTATTGGGCAAAGAAATACAGTCAAACAAAACTGTTGGAAAATGGACTACATATAGACATTTTAAATTATCACTTTCATGTCAGATAATAGGTCACATTGTCCATGGAGTTGGGTTATAGTCCGACGTAGACGACAAACCAGACATAGTGATCATTCATCTCTTCAACCAGCATTATAGTTTTGCACATCATTCTTCATTTTGACTGTCTATGGGTGCTGGGCTATTCCCACTGGTGGGCCCTACAGAGAATCTAAATTCAAATTTGAATACGACGACAATACCCTTTGTTTCACAAAACATTTGTAGTGACGTCAACTAGTTTGCGTTCCAAGCGTATCAACCTGTCCATGCCTATTCAATCACCTTATCTTAACGATCATGAAGCACGCACGAAAAGCATGTGATGTCACTACAGACATTTTGGTAAAATACAGAGTAATGTACAATGTAGTGTAGGTATACCTATAATACAAAACATGATTTATTTTTAGAATGAATTTGATATAAAACAGCTTTTGCCCAAATAATATTTCTTCAATGATAAACCTGACAGGTGATGTCACTACAGAAGTTGTGATGAAACAAAGGGTATTCATTACTTAAAGCATACACATTTTTTTCCACATAACAGGAAAAGATTAACAATTGATTGCATTGCATGAGAACATGTCTTGTCAAGACATTTAACTCACTCTTTACAAAAAACAAAAACAAACACAAACATCAGAAATTCATAACAACAAACTGAACCAAGGGTAAATTTGTAATATGTCACATTTTCATATATGAACAAAACACTCTTGCATGCACTATCCATTTCAGAACTCTATATAGATTGTGTACATGTATGTAAAACTATAAAACTGTTCAAAACAACACTGGATGAAAAATTGAATACACTCAATGGTATATGCAAGATTGGAGTTGACCAACTCTGTAGCTTGTCACTACAGACGTTTTGGTAAAATACAGAGTAATGTACAATGTAGTGTAGGTATACCTATAATACAAAACATGATTTATTTTTAGAATGAATTTGATATAAAACAGCTTTTGCCCAAATAATATTTCTTCAATGATAAACCTGACCTTCTGTTTCAACTCCTTTTCTGAAATACCAGCCATTCCACAAATTTTGGTCAACCAGCATTTAACTGCAATGATACTGAACAATCAACTTTTTTAACATGTACACTATGAACGGTGAATTGTAAACTGTATATACCTGATCTAACTATTATAATATGATATACTGTTTAATACAGGCTAGTGGTTACATTTTAATACACAACTAACAAATGTATTACAACATTGCTCATACTAGCTACATCAAATAACAAAATGTTATACATATAATTTGAGAGTGCTCTGGTAAGATATTTTCATGAGGTGAAAGATTAGTTGCACCATACCAGGAGCTGGCGGAACGGCCAATCTTCCACTAAAATGAAAATATTCTATCCGATGAATAAAACATTTATCATTTGTTGTATAACTCATCTACAGATTCCCATCTAAAATATTTTATAAATCATCAGGAAGACAAGATTCAATTCAATAAAAACTATTTTTTTAATGTTCCTTTAGAAGCAGAACCCACACTTATAATTGGCGGTGGTCATCACGCTTGGAATTCAAACCCAGAAAAAGTGTTCTTTGCAGGTGATGTCACTACAGAAGTTGTGATGAAACAAAGGGTATTCATTACTTAAAGCATACACATTTTTTTCCACATAACAGGAAAAGATTAACAATTGATTGCATTGATTGCATTGCATGAGAACATGTCTTGTTAAGACATTTAACTCACTCTTTACAAAAAACAAAAACAAACACAAACATCAGAAATTCATAACAACAAACTGAACCAAGGGTAAATTTGTAATATGTCACATTTTCATATATGAACAAAACACTCTTGCATGCACTATCCATTTCAGAACTTTATATAGATTGTGTACATGTATGTAAAACTATAAAACTGTTCAAAACAACACTGGATGAAAAATTGAATACACTCAATGGTATATGCAAGATTGGAGGTGACCAACTCTGTAGCTTATCAAAGCTGACCCATAAGTCGCTGTTTGACCAACAAATTACCTCATACAGTGGCAACTCGTTCTTGCAAACCCTTTTCTTAACACAAAGTTCCAAATAATACAAAGAGGAATTCAATTTCCAAGGTGTTCTTGTAAATTTCATTCTATCCTGATAACACAAACCTAAATCCAAACCCCCACCAACTTTGTGTAAATGAGTTGCTACTCTACACAGTACAGGAACGAAGATGCTTCTGATCCCAGCCAAATGAGGAGATATCAAACTTGAATGGGCATAGTACCTTAACAAGTTTGATCAGATCACAGATTGGAGAAATGCAATGGAGCATCTCATGTTTGCAAAGGGACTTTGGGGCTAACTCTTATTATCTCCCCAGCTGGGTCAACACAAGTGAGCATCATATGTCCCCGTTTAAGCTGAAAACCTTTATACATGGGCTATTCAATTCCTAGGACGACCAGCCGGGAGGTAATAATCAAGGTTGGCCTGCAAAGTCCCCATTTGATCTACACAACTTTTAACATCTTAAAACATGTAATTACCTACAACTTAAGGATGCACCCAGCAACGTCAAAGTTTGCCATACCCTTAAATGATTTTTTTTTTATTGCTATCTTCAAACTCTGTTCCATCATGTCAGTAAATTCTGTGATGCTAATATAAACATTGAACCATCAAAAACTGTTTTGTGGACCCTTTTCAGGTTTAAAATCTAACAAAACTACAGATGAAACCTTTTTTAACGCAAAATGACAGTGTCCGTTTATGCGATGCATGCTACGTGTCCCGTCACATTGCAACACGATGTGCAATATCCGCGCAATCTATCTACGTGACACAACGCCCATGGAAACAGCAAGCAATGTAAACAGATGGTGAGACCATGTGGACGTTTACTCTCAAATCCATATAAATTCAATTGGAAAAAATGTCTAATGTACCATCGGATGCAGCATATTGTCGGCAACCGTATACCAAAGTCAGGATCGAGACACAGGATCTTGGGGTTTTCAAGATGAGATTGAAAATGCAACTGAAAATCCATGTTTCTGCATAAAATCATAATTTCAGCCATTTCATTTTTAAGAGTTTATATGAGTTTTGAACCCTCAGGACTCAAAAATAAAACATTTCTGATTTAAGATTTCATACAGAATACATTGTACCTACTAAAATCTAGTAACGTTTTTTTGTAATTAGGCCCTAGAACTTTTTTTATAGCCCACAACTCATAAGTTCAAACTTGGTTATTATATTTTTGGTACATTGTGAGTTATATTTTGGACACTAGGAAAATAATTTTTTGTTGCAAGGATATTTTATTTATGGTGGTCGAAAAAAATGGGTAAAAAAAATGATAAATTGTTGTCCAAATTGTATGTGTTCAATGGATTTAACAGGTCATTTTCAGCCAGAAAATGTATACCTTTATACACTTCCCATCAATAGTTTTTGAGTTACATACGAGATGAACTATACTGCATAAAGCATGTTGCTGAGTGCATCCTTAAATAAACAATGTTCTTGGCTCAGAAGCTGATCATAGTTTGTCGCAGAAATATACCCCACTTACCCTGCAAATCTTTATACAAACTGTTACACATTGGTCAATGCTCCCTGATAATTGACTGCAACTGGAAAATTATCGAAGCTGGCAAGCTTTGAGTCCACATTTGATCTGTAAAACTTTATTCACATTTGGCCTTGACTAACTGGGGATCTGATCATAGATGGTACAAAGTCCCATTTGATCTGCAGACATAACTTAATAGAAACACATTGAACACATGATTATGCTTTAATGGTTATCTGGCCCTACCCAATAGCTGAGTGCGAGGACCTGATTAAATTTCACAAAAGGGGCAAATGGTCTACTTTTTGATGATTTTTTTGAAAAAAAGGGTCCAAACTTAGATGAAATTGGACAAGAGTGGTGAGATATTTATAAAGTCTAATAAAGGCCAAAGGTCCATGGTAATTGACCAACAGTCAAAACCCAACTGCTAACCAAGTTGTCTCATAAATCAAAATTAGACATGTTACTTTTTACACAATTTTCAATTTCATGGGACTTCACCTGGCCTTGACTAATTGAGGATCAAAGGTGGTAGCTATGTCCCATTTGATCTGCAATGTACTTAAAAATCTAAATTTTGCAAGTAGCGGGCCTTTGACGAGTCAAGTTAGCCATAAGTCCCCATTTGACGTGCAAACTTTAGTTTACACAATGTGGATGCTTCCTCATCAGCTGGAACTAGCCAACTGAGGACCTCGATCATCACAGTTGGCTCTTAAATCCAAACATTATACATAGCGGTCCTTTGACGAGTCATCATGGCCCTGATCAACTGGTGAGCCAAGTAAAGTTGACCAAAAGTGCCCATTTGACCTACAAACTTAACTTTCACACAATGTACACATGCGGATGCTTCCTGGTAATCGGACCCAAGCCAACTGAGGACCTGATCAAAATTGCCCATAAGTCACTAGTTGATTGCAAAACATTACATACTGGCCTATTTAACTGGGGAGCCAAGCAAAGTTGGCCTAAAGTCCCTATTTGACCTGCAAACTTTATTTTACATAGTGTACACATGTGGATGCTTCCTTGTCATGGTCTAAGCCAACTGAGGACCTGATCACAGTTGGCTCTTAATTCCCAGTTGATATGGAAAACATTATACATCTAGTCCTATCACGAGTCCTATCAACCATGAACCTAATCTAGGGGAAGTGAGCAAAGTTGGAGTTTGACCTGTAAACCTTTATGCACATTGTTACACATGTGATGCTCACTGACGTTGACCATCTGGTGATATGGGAGCTGATAAAATTGACCTGTAAGTCATCATTTAAACTGCAAAACGTTAACCTGGCAAACTGGGGCTTATCAAACAACTTTAGCACAAAAGTTCCCATTTGCCTTACAATCTTCTATACAGTATACATACTGTTAGACACAAGTCTACTCCCTGGCCCTGACCAACTGGGCAGGTAATTAAGTTTTTCCTATTAAGTTCCCATTTGACTTGCAGAACCATACACTGCTTTACACACAGTATGCTTCCTGGCCATGGAGTTAACTGTTAACCTATATAAAGGTGCACCTCTTCCAAAGCACAGCCCTTCATCAAGGAAACCAGTAAGTGGGTTATATGAATAAGAAGCAACCACATTTTACGCATGTCAGTACCTGAAAAGATTTCATCCAAAATTGCGGAGTGTGATGAACATGATTAATTTCACTCATAACAGGTTGAAAATTCACTAAAAATCCAGTGGATTTGTCTTCTAATTTGGTTTCTAATGAAATCTTTGACTGTTGTCCACCTTTTAGTACGACCCTTCAGGTCTGCATCCATCTTGCAGTACTTCATTATTTTTTCTTTACCGGGCAGTTGGCGTGAGCGTAGTTCTTCTTTAAAGTGTCTGTGTATTGCTTTTTTTTCTTCAGCTGTCCAAGATTGTCTGATACTCCTTTTCTTTCTGCTGGCACCACGGTCACTTTCCTTGTTTGCAACTTGGTCACTCTTCTTTCTGCTTTGCTGCGGCATGCTCATACCTTTAATAGTGAATTAGACAAATAAGTAGGGAAACACAATTAATGTTTCAGGTTCAATGACAGATTTTAAAAAACTTAACCAAATGCAGAAGATGGTAGCTGAGAGAAGAGTGGAATGGTTATATTTTGATTTTTTTTTTTAAAGTTACAATTTACATTACTTTTAGCTAGTTCTTCATTTAAAGCTGTCTGCATTAGGAGTGCCATTTAGCCAGAATTCAAACTAAGCGAATGCTAAAATTCAAATAGTGACACAAGGATAATCACCTGTTGAGGGCATCTGGAATAATCAAAGTAAGGATAAACTAGATGGAACTTCGACTGCGCGCATTCGAAAATGATGCCTCCGTCATAGAGCAAGTTTACAAACCAAAACAGAAGAAATTTTTCAAATTCGAATTTCATTGTAATCCATTAACAGGTTCTCAGAATATCGTGATTACAAGCAATTTCTCATATACATATATGACCCTTTGATCTTTGACCTCATGACCCTAAAATCTACTCAGTTCATTGGCTCTGCAAGATGTCCTGAATTAAATAGTAATCCATCTGTCAGTTCTAATGATAAAGCTGTTTTTGCATACATAATGAGCCCATGACATTTGACCTTTGACCTCATGACCCATAAATCTACTCAGTTCATTGGCTCTGCAAGATACATACATGACCTAAGTTTGGCAGGAATCCATCAATCGGTTCTTGAGATAACGCGATCACGAGCTGTTTTTCATACATAATGAGCCCTGTGACCTTTGACCTTTGACCTTGTGACCCCAAAATCTTATCAGTCCATCGGCTCTGCAAGATACATACATGACCAAAGTTTGGCAGGAATCCATCAATCGGTTCTTCAGATAACGCGATCACGAGAACGGGACGGACGGACGGACGGACGGACAACCCGAAAACATAATGCCTCCGGCTACTTCGTAACGGAGGCCTAACAAAGGATATAACAAAGTAATTCATTCACACCTTCATTTTCTTTGTCTGACATCTCATCCATCAAAACAGCATCATCGGGCCTGTTCACTTCGTTGTCAGGATCATCATCAACATCTGGATCTATGTTGCATTCTGAAAAACAAAAAACAAACACAGATTTAACAAGAGCAGGTGAAAAATAACATACATGTACATTATAATCTTTGCAAGGGTAAGTTCATAGCAGACAGCTGTGGATAGTCATCCCTGTTTTGCTTTTCATGTAAACAGCACAGCTGGTACCACAACTACTCTTCAATACAAAGTGTATTTAGAGAGACAATTCTGCAAGTGTCATCATTTTTTTAAAACACATGAGTATCCAAAATATATCAAAATATGCAAATTAGCTCATTAAATGTCATGATTATGCAAATAATGCAATGAAAAGCATCACACAACATCTTGGCACCTCAGTCTGTCACCCTACCAGGTTTCAAATGAATCAGGTATAGCGTTTAGCCTGCAGAGCATTTTTTTTAAGGTTAACCTAAATTGCATTGCAAATAAGCTAATTGAAATTCATGAATATGCAAATAATACAGCTCAAAGCAACACATGATATTGTGGCACCTCACTCTATCACCCTACCAAGTTAGAAGTAAATCGGGCATAGCGTTTAACCTGCGGATCATCCTACCAAGTTTTGGAGTAAATCAAGCATAGCGTTTAGCCTGCGGAGCATTTTTAGAAGGGTTAACCGAAAACGTTAACCGAATCGGTTAATGGAAAGACGGACATAGATAATTTGGATTAGTATGTGCCACCATGAACGTTCAGTAAGGCGACACAAAAATCAAATCACATATTCAAGTATTTGAAATGTTGGCAGCTTCCCATATATTGTATCTCGGATCAATTCTTATTAAAACTGGAGGTACTAATGAAGACATCCCAGTTTGCTTACCAAAAGCATGGAACTTCACAAACTGAAGGATATAGCAAGCATACAAAACTAAGGAAATTATACAATATAAAAACTGTGTTGTATGAGAGTGAAATGAATGATTGAGATGTAACATAAAAGTTTTCTGGCCTAATGTAATCTCAAACTAGAAACCGTTATGATCTCACTAACCAATCAGATATCACTTTAGATAAAAGTAGAAGGAAATGAAAATGGTATGGCATATTCTCAGCCATTCTATCTAGCACAAAACATAAAAAATAGTCATACCTTCATCTGCATCTACACGAACATCATCCAACGTCTTTCCTGCCATTGCCTTTAGGTCTCCCTTCTCCATGCTGAAGAGTACTTTAGAAATCTTTGCTACTTGCAGTGACGCATCTGGCAGGCGGTAGTAGGCTCTGTGGGTTCTTATGTCATGGCCCATGAAGGTGGCTAAAATGTCCACTTCATTATCCTTCAAATTCATGATCTGAGAGCTGATAGCAATGTGCTTCCTGAGTTTTGTCAATCTAAGCTGATCTGGATACTTTGCTCCACACTTTTGGGCATGATTTCGCACTGTATCAGTTGCTCTCAAGTGGCCTCTTCCATCGGGGTTTGCAAACAAGTAGGGATTTCCATCATTGACTACTTGTGACCTTTTCTCCATCAACAAGTCAATGCTGCTTTCATGTCATCTGTTAGCAAAACGGGTACAGTGTTATTGCATTTCCCATTAATCTCCACCCTCCATACCACATTGCACAACGCCTTTTCCCATTTGGTTAGGCCTTCACCAAATATTCCACCTTCTCCTTTTGTGATACACTTGTAATCACTGAGGGCATCTTTGAAACTTCTCCCGGACGCTTCCTGTTGAAAACACACACCTGGGTCAGGGTAACCTCAGCCAACTGTTTCCATCTGTCAAGGGTCTCATCACTACTGCAGCTGTTCAGCTTCTGTTTTCCCTCTTTTGTTTCTTTTCTCACATAATTGGACAGTGCAACAACATCTGTTGTCAAAGGAAGCAGCCTTGATGTATTTCTCTTGTTTACTTTTAATGTACGCAGTGCATGTGTGCTTACTTCTGCTTCCCACTTGAGAGTATATGATTTGATGAACTGTTTGCATTTCTTTTCCAAACCAGCATCTGCTTGCAACAGAGCATTTCCCATAAGGACTTTGGCAGCCGTCACCAGTGTATATCCGACTTTCAGTGCCAGGCTAGGTGTTGTGTACAAATGTGTATCCTCATTAAATCCTGCAGCCTTCCTAGTTGCAGCTATGACCTCATTAAATTTGGTAGGACAAATCAAATCTACTAATGAAGCCGATGGGTGATCATTCAATTTTCTGTACTCACGAACCAGTCGTGCAAGTTCACGCAATTTTTGCCGTATATATGAATACTGGTCTTTGTCATGCCCATGCTTCAATGTCAGCCTCTCTGCTACTTGCTGCATTAATCTATCTGATTTCACAACTCTCAATATTTCATCATCGACTCCCATTGATAATATCATGTGCACCTTTGGGCTTACTCCTGATGGGCCTGGAAGCATCATTCTACCAGTTTGAACATGTAAGGTTCTTTTTTTCTTCTTGGGTGGTTCACAGGTCTCATCCTCATCCTCAACATCTGGTCGCAATTTACATCTATGAACATGCCTGTACAAATCATCCTTGGAATAGAAAGCATAACAATGACTACATGGCAAATATTCTTCTGGATCCACATCATATTTCGGTCTGTATGCAACAATCAAGGTACCTTTATTTTCTTGAAGGACTTTGACATTGTGACGATAGTTTCCGTAATTTCTCATTTTAGCTAGCAAGTTTGCCTTTTCTTTCATGTCTTTAGTTGCAATCCATTGCTGAACCTCAGTCTCGTTGACATGTTGTGGTGTAAGCAGATGCCTCGGCAGTTTCTTTTGTGGTTGACTACAAAATTTACAGTACTGAGGTTTGTCCCACTTTCTACAGTTGTTGTTTGAAGTGGTCATCACATTAATACTGCAACTGGAGCTTGAGACTTTTGCACTTTGAACACTTGCAGAGGCATGGGCAGGTGAGGTATTAGGTACTGAATGGTCAACAGGCATGGCTTCACTCTCCTTATTATCACTGACAGAAACTGCCACAGAGTTACTTTGACGTCCACGTACAAACCGAAATGGAATGAAATCAGCCTCATCACTGCTACTACCTTCTGGATCAGATTCGGCTTCATAATCACTATCGGAATCATCTCCAGATGGTTCAGATGCGACAGGAGTGTCGTCATCTCCAGATGGTTCAGATGCGACAGGAGTGTCGTCATCTCCAGATGTTCAGATGCGACAGGAGTGTCGTCATCTCCAGATGGTTCAGATGCGACAGGAGTGTTGTCATCTCCAGATGGTTCAGATGCGACAGGAGTGACGTCATCTCCAGATGGTTCAGATGCGACAGGAGTGTCGCCATCTCCAGATGGTTCAGATGCGATAGGAGTGTCGTCATCTCCAGATGGTTCAGATGCGACAGGAGTGTCGTCATCTCCAGATGGTTCAGATGCGACAGGAGTGTCGTCATCTCCAGATGGTTCAGATGCGACAGGAGTGTCGTCATCTCCAGATGGTTCAGATGCGACAGGAGTGTCGTCATCTCCAGATGGTTCAGATGCGACAGGAGTGTTGTCATCTCCAGATGGTTCAGATGCGACAGGAGTGTTGTCATCTCCAGATGGTTCAGATGCGACAGGAGTGTCGTCATCTCCAGATGGTTCAGATGCGACAGGAGTGTCGTCATCTCCAGATGGTTCAGATGCGACAGGAGTGTTGTCATCTCCAGATGGTTCAGATGCGACAGGAGTGTTGTCATCTCCAGATGGTTCAGATGCGACAGGAGTGTCGTCATCACCGGTCCAGTGAACATTTGAGCCAGATGGTGCAGCATCCAGAACTCCCCACCTGAAATTATCGGAAACGGAAAACAATTCATGAGTTTAGAAATTAAGAATTAGCCATAATATGCAAAAGTTTTGCATGCATTTCAATTTCGCGAGCAAGACAATTCACAATTTTTTTAAAATGCATTTTCGAACATCAATTGGTAATATTAACAAATCGCTAAATTTGAATGCCACTACAATGGCCAATTGCCACTATCCATGGTGTGTAATTCCAAACTCAATCAAAGACATAAAACTTTGATTCTGTAGTAAGATGAGATTCATTTTTAAACAAGTCAACGCAAAGCGTAGCATCCCTCGCAGGTACAAATGGCCTATATACGTCAGAACAAGTTACCTCCATTGGACTATATTATTATATTTCTAGGCAAGGATTTTCACATATATAATTACCGGTAGGTGTTTTTGCATATTTAATGAGCTATGACCTTTCACCTTTGACCTACATACTCAGAAATCGAAATTAGGCTGTACATGTATTTTGATACCATGTACCTTCATATCAAATTTCATTAAAATCCGTCAAACATTACTCAAGTTATCGAATGGAAACCAGATTTGCATATTTAATGAGCTATGACCTTTGACCTACATACTCCGAAATCGAACTTAGACTTTGTTTTAATACCATGAACCTTCATATCAAATTTCATTAAAATTCGTCAAACATTACTCAAGTTATCGAATGGAAACCAGATTTGCATATTTTAATGAGCTATGACCTTTGACCTAGGTACATACTACTCCGAAATCGAACTTAGCCTGTATTTTGATATCATGTACCTTCATATCAAATTCCATTAAAATTTGTCAACATTACTGAAGTTATCGATCGGAAACCAAATTTGTTACGAACGGACGCACGCACGGACGGACGCACGCATGGAAGGAAGGACGGACGGCAGCGTTACTATATCCCCTCCGACTTCGTCGGCGAGGGGATAATAAAAGTTTTTTTTTTTAAACCAAAAAGTGCGACAAAAGGCAGATTTTGGCACTTTTGGTCACAATAAAAAAAAAAAAACTTACATAAAAATATCAAGATGAAGAATCTACAAACTAACGGTAGGTAAGAATGACCACAATTTTGACCAAGTTGTGGTAATTCTGACCAATAAATTGCGTAGCTTTCCTGTTAACTATTGAGCAGCACTTTTGGTCAAATTTGAGGTCAGATATGGAACTTATGACTTCTTTCCTTTCCCCAAAAATTGTACTTTCATGATCTTTGCATAATGTTTTGCACACTTTGAACGTTGGCACCCCCCTTTAACATATTTAAACTGATTTTTTGTCGTACAGTGGAATCTCTTTTACACAAAATCGAGCTAAAACATGACATTTATTTTTAACTGTCAAGGTACCTTTATTTACCACTAATCTATGAGACAGGGCATCTAAAGATCTTAAATTGATTTTTAAATTATCAAAATGAGCAGAAATAGAATTTACTTGAGCCCGGGTCAATTAACGTACTCTCCTATCCCACCTTGGCCTCGCAAGTCGTTTTTGGCTTTGCACCTTCTCATTTTTTAACCGATTTTTTAAAGAATCCAAGAAATATAATTCAGCATCATACAAAGGTAGGACCATGTAACATGATACAGCTGAACCTCGGAGCGGAACTTCTTTAACACAAAATCAGTAGGACCACAATATTTTGTTTGTGTTATAAGGATTTTGTGTTATCCACTTAAAATTGCTACAAAATACATGGTTCGGCAAATATTTACTTTGTGCTATCAGGGTTTTTGTGTCAACAGATTTGTTTTTATAAAAAGGTTTCACAATTCACATGTACATCGCATTTTCCCCTTTTCATGACATTGGGGCTTTGATCACATATCTTGCAGGGAGGGTC